TGTACAGGCAGCTGTGGAAGCCAGAAGAGGGCAACAGATTCCCCAGAGCTGGACTTCCAGGGAGTTATGAGCTAACTGATGTGGGTGCTGGGAACCGAACTCAGGTCCTCTGAACAAACACTATGTGCTCTTAACCCACACCCCATCTCTCCAGCCCACATCTAATACAGTCTTAAAATTAATCATTCATTCACATATAGGAACATAAGTACTGGAATAGTTCTCTAACAATAACTTAAATTTATTCAAAAATATACACAACAGTCTGGCTAATCAGGAGTATTTCACGCACTGATCTTCCACACCACAGACATCGGAAAACAGAAGCATCTGCCATTTCTACATCTTTTTAGGAGGCACTGAGGCAGGGAGTCATTTTTTAAGTAACCTTTTCTATTGTGAGATTGATTTGTAATTTATTTTTAGCATATCGGTTTTACAATCTAAAATATTCATTCTTTAAAAAAAAAAAAAGTTTTAGTAACAAATCGAAGTCAGATGTGGTAAGACAATCCACAGCCACAGCACTCCGGAGGCACAAGCAAAGACAGTCAGGGGTTTAAAGCTGACAGTGCTTAGGCATGCACAAGACCCCTTCAAGTCTATATTCTTTTTCTCCAAAAAGGGTGTTAACCTGTGAAACAAAAGTAACACCTTATGCTGAAATGAGGCCTTAATTGTTAGGTACACCAAAGCCTTACTGTACTGCTTGAGAAACACAACATGGTAAAAATCATCTCCAATTCTATTCAGAATTAACTACTGTGTGGGTCTAAATGATCACTTCCCAATGTTTTAATTTCAAACAACTTAGGATTTAGAGGAAAATGAATTTTAAGATAGATATATGGAGATTCATCTAGACCTAAGTACTTTCCATGGCTGAAAATGCCACATTCTGCTTCCTTGCAGGGCATGAGTCACATGGTATAGGAAATCTGTCACATTCGATGGGATCTGAGTTTAAAGTCATACTGTCAAGTTCTTTTTCATTCTTTACGAAATAACAGTAATAATCTTTGAGGAAATACTTTCTGCAGTTCCTACCTAATAAAGGAAAAAGATTATAAGCAATGCTTGTCAAGCCCTTTATAATTCAAAATCAATCACATCACGCCTGCATTGTTTCATACACTTCATGTATTCCTTCTGCATACAATTCAAGAGATCCGGGAGGGCAGGTGATCTGTGCAAGGAGAAACCGCAGCACACTAACAGAATCCCACCTTGTAAATGCAATGCAAGAGCTCACAGTGAACTACCACAACACAACAACAACAAAAGCTTATGACAACACAGACCACAGACAACAGTTAGCCAACTGTTACAGCACTGCTTTCCCAACGTTGTGATAAAGCACATGGGGAACCTTGGCGGATTCCATGACAGGCGAGGTTGACCATGGCGGGAGACAAACACGGCCAGGCAGACAGAACCTAGTGAGAAGTTTTATTAAAAAGGGAAAGGGGGGGGAGCAGGAGAGAAAAGAGGTAAAGAGACAGAGAGAGGACAGAAGAGAAGAGGGAGACAGGAAAAGTCCTGTCTGCCCCAGGGGAACAGCAGAAGAGAGAGAGAAAAATAGGGTAAGTGGGCGGGGTCTGTCTTTTAAAGGGGTCCTACGAACCTGTATGCAGACTATGGATTCATGGATCCCTGGACTGACCAGGGTGCATTCTGCCAGGTGACAGGGGCAGGCCAGAATAATGCCCGAGTCCTTACAACAAACACTAAAAATAATTATAATATATTGCTCTATTATTATTACATTATTACATTATTACAGTTCCTTCTTCAGACCATGACAACTGGATCAAAGAGTCAGGAACCCGTCACAACCCACAGCGGCACAACTGTTCTAAAGGACAATATGTTCCACTGTCTTCAGAGTGGCAGGCTTCCCCCCGCCCCTTTTTTTTTTACAATTTAAAAATCCTTAAAATGCTCACATCAAACTTAAGCAAAGCAAAAATAAATAAACAAAATAAATCTAAACTCTATTTGCCCCACACCACGCCATACAAAATCGTTCCCAATGAGCATGCGTACAGTTAGAAAATGTAAGGTTGAAATTAACTGTCCTCCAGTGGATTTCCTAAATACCCCATAAATTACTCTGGCATTTCTGCAAGTCAGGGTTAGAGCATATGTTAACTAGACAATTACTTTCATTCTTCCCTGGGACACAATCACCCTCTTAGCAACTTACAAGCAGCTAAAAGCGCTCTACCGCAGCAAGGCAAAAGCAATCGCTATAGAAAATAACCATGTACATTTATTTTTGCAGTCCTAACAAGTATTATTCCCTTAACATTACCACAATAGACAAACTAACCAAAT